AGCTGATGAAAGCACATCTGGAATTCATCATCATGCAATCATAGGACCGTTCTGGCTCTGAATCACCAGTGACCTGTGTTTATATTATGAAAGCTAGACCAAATTATACTGGCATGTAAACTTCTTGTAATGTTAACATTAGGGTTAGTTCCTTTCATTTTTATTTATTATTCTATTTTCTTAAACTGTTGTATGGCAGTTGTTTTCCAGTTTTTAAACGCTTCTGAAACTCCCCTGGTAACCATGGCAATCCATGTTTAACATCACAACGGTAGAGGTAATTCCCTCAGGCAAACTCTGCAGAAATGCAAACTTACGGATAGTGTGCATAAAAGGCTCTGTTAGATGCCCTTGATGGTTTTACAGTAGGACAGCCCTAAGCCCTCATGAACTCACTGGGCACGCACCTCAAATTTGAGCAGTCATGAGGGTGGATATTGGGATTGGGCCAGTGACTCTGTTTAGACAACAGAATCCACAATTACCTCCTATTAACTTGATCAAGGCAATGCTTTGAATAAGACATTACCATGCATATCTCATTTTGTGACAGCCTTAACCTGAAGAAAACAGGGGTTGATTTAAGCTTCGCTAATGAAGATGTGTAGAGTTGGGATGGAAGATTATAACAGCATTATTTTGATGTATTGTAAATACATTATGGTATTCTCTCTGCTGTACCTAAGCCTCTTTTGTAAAAGAGATCTTGATCTCAATTAGATTACCTGGTTAAGTAAAAGGTTATATACAGTATAGTTACTCAAGTAGTCAAAATCACAAGGCAAAACATCAGTGAGTCACAACCCAGTGAAACAAGTATTTTTTAGTGTTGTGGAAAACCAAATGCTTTAATTTTCTGAAAAAACAAAGTACTTGCAAAAGTTTTAGGACCTTCAGCTGTTTGTGATCTGTCCAGATTCATTCTGCTTCTACAGCCAGAGTCATAAAGAACTATGAAGAAGGACAAGGAGTCCTGCAACAGATGGTCTGGCCCCCACAGAGCCCTGATCTCGACATCACGGAGTCAGATGAGACAGGAGACACTGACACAGCCTAAATCCACAGATGAACTGTGGCAAGTTCAAGACTCTTGGACAACTGGACAAGTATATTGAGGAGAACTGGTGATAAAAGTGTGGCCCCACAAAATACTGATTTCATTTGTTTTTCTGCTTACTGCACTTTGTACGGTATATTCTGAAATATTTGAGATAACTTTTATTTGTTATTGTTTGTTTGGGCAGATATCTCAGAATGAGTATTTTGTCACAACATGATAACCTAAAAGAGACAATTTCCTATGTTAGTACCAATTTTAGGCAACTTATTGAAAAATAAGGCTGTCAGTATTTGTATCTAATGTCTATATTTTTTGTCTGCATTTTTCTTACTGTCCCCATGAAAGGACGAAAACCAACAATGAATTTATTCACTGAAAATGATTGCCTGATATCTTACTCCTCCATGCCATAGAGCTTTATTGCTGTACAAAAACTATTTAAAAACACATCAATGAGCCACAATTTCACTGGATGACATGTTTTTTCATTACCATAAATATTGGCACTGTTGTGCAGATTATTTTGAGTCACTCCCACATACACTTTCCTGCTGCTGTAAATACTAATCAGAGCACTAAATGTGTATTAAACCATGGCTTAAAATACCACCAACAAATGCATAGTTTACTCCTGTTTGAGTTATTCACAATTTAGGAACCTGCTTTTTAAAAAAACAAAACTAAATGTTTGTGAGCAGTTTGGACTGTAGTGTGAGATATGGGAGAGAAGCTGGAAAACATGGACCAACATATTGTTGGCTTTGGTCTTTTGATGGGAATTGCTGACAGGAGCTCATGGGGCATTTCTCGGTTTGTCTTTATTCCAAATCATACAGTGAAGTAGAAGACTTAAATATGACAAATAAATGCTTGGAGCATAGGTGTAGCTGTCTGCCAGAGGCTCAACTGTAAATTAGGCACCCCTTTTTTGTATTTTCTGCTATATATATATAGATAGACATAGATCTATCTATCTATCTATCTATCTATCTATCTATCTATCTATCTCACAATGTATGTGTGCTGTAATGACGTCTGGCTGTTCTCCCCTTATTAAGTTACACAATAGGAACGACTTTGTTCACACCATTTTCAGCAAACTTCAGTTCATTTCTTAGTACTGTACCCCATAATTAACCAATATGTATAAAACTAGAGTATAATTTATTCATCCTTTCCTTTAAAATGCCCAGTTGTTACTTGCTGCTCATAGTCTAATTTTCTTCCACTGTACCAACATTTAAGTTCCAGTGGAAACCAGTATAATGGTACCATATTCACACAAGGAAATAACACTATAAATCACAGGCTGTATTATAAACTTAACAAATATCTTTATCAAAGCACATACATTACTGTTGTCCATGAAAACAGTCATTGCTGGCAAAGCCAGGTTGACGTGCGGTTTCTTTGTGTGTGTGCACATGTGCATGAGTGCGCATGTGCACACACTCTTGTTTGAAGCAGCCATGAGGGGAGGGTATGAGCAGTATTAATACAACAGGGAAAAGGCCCAATTCATGGTTACCATGGTAAATATGGCCCCCTGTCGTGTGCTAGCAGTCCCCTCCTCCCCCCCTTTATGGCTCTCTACTGTTCTTCTCCATGCCGTTTTTCCTCTTATACTTTGACTTCCTTTCTCTGCTCGTCATTTCCACCATATCTACTGCTTCCCTCCTTCTTCCTTCCCAAATTCCCCCTTTTTCTTCCTTATTTCATTCTCCCCCCTCCTTTTTGCCTTCCCTCCCCCATCTTTCCTTCACGCCACAGTGGCCTCCCTACAGGCTCCAGACAGGCCCTGAATATTGCGCAGAACGACACGACCTTCAGTGCATCATGGCAGCTGACTGGGCAGCGCCTGGCACAGCAACAGGACACAACATCACTATGGCCTCTGTAGTTCAACGCTCATGGCCCAAAATCTCAACATTTACATAGGTAGTGATGTCTTAGAAGTGATGCGATATAACTGCTGTAGTGCCAGTGTGCACCATTCCTCATCATCATCATCATCATCTCCCTCTAGATGCCAACATTCCTCATGATCTTCATCTGCTGTTCACGCTGCATACTGAGCACATACTGTGGTTATAATTAAGATTTTACAGCAGAGCTACGACCATACATTATTTATCATCTGTCTTCAATGGCTATAATAATGATGTGTTTATTTCTTACTCAAGCAAATATGCTCATTTGTCATTTGAAGCAACATTACAAAATTAATTACTCATCTCTCACCGATTACACTCTGAAATACTCAAGCATGTTTAGTGAAAATCTAGCTTGACCTCCCATTACAGTGAACAGCATCTAGGCAGGTTATTTTCCTCCAGGTTAAACTGTACATTTTATGTGTGAGGTGAATGGAAAAGAATATCTAAGATATCATGATACCAGGTTACTGAAACAAGGCCTGCTGTTTATCTTAAACATACAGCGGGATCCAAAAGTCTAAGACCATTTAAATGTTCATTCTTGACCTTGGAAGATTTGTTGTTGGGACCCTAGTGACCCCTATTATACATAGCAGTTTCATTATTTCCCCTGACACCAAGAAACAAACCTGTACACTTGAGTAGAAATAAGTAAATTGATTGGGTAATTTATTTATTTTTTAATAAAAAAAGGGAAATATGCTAGAATATCCCGCACACTGCTCTTGCTTAGCATCATGATTTATTCATCATCCAAATGTTTCCATCTACCTAGACCTTCGTCAGAAGTATTTCAGACAGTTCTTACAACCATGGTCTTAAACAGATAATGCTCCATTCATCGTGTGTGCCCAGGTGTGGGACAATTATTCTTCTGTGGGAGTGTCTTTCAACCATTGACAGTGATTTGTGTGTACTCTGTCTATATTTCACATATACAAGTAAGAGAAAAATATACATTTATAAATATACAAAAAATAAGTGAGTCATCAGAATACATAATCAAATCTGCTTACAAGGCTATTTACAGAAATTACAGTCTATTGAATGAAAACATTTGCGTGGCATCTTACATAAGTCATTCAAAGTATGTTATAAGTTGGTTGGACAAAACATGATATGTGAAGATATCACAGGCCTCAGAAATCAGTATTTTCTGACATTTTACAGTTTACTTAATTGTGGAAATAATCGCTAACAAAAATAATCATTCATGGCGGATAATAGGTTTGTCTTTGGAAGCCACCACATAGAGCCTTATTAAGGTTTGAACTTTGAATAGGTCTGTTATGGCACATGAGCACTGACATGTGTTGACGGTTTAAATACTAGTGACAGAACAGTAATGACTTCATATTTTAACCCTGTAAGTCACTGCAAAGTGGTGCCATTAGACACAGCCTTACATCACCCATCACCCTTTTCAGCTGTTGATGTTACAACAGCAGTGAGCTTGGCTCATGAAAACATAGCTATATTCATCTCCAATTACATGAGGCTTTTGGTGGTGTGACTTCATTGTCTTTGTCTCAAACTAACACAATAGTGAGTTACATGTTCACTTGAAATAGTAATAATGAAATTACTGGAAAAAGCACCAATGTGCTGAAAAGAAGCCATTTGAAAGGCTGTTTAAGAGCCTGAAATAAGCATGGCCATGAAAAGATGTGTTAATTTAACTGTGACATTTCTCTGTGGTGGCTGGCAAATGGTCTCAAATAGGCACTAATTTGGTCAGACAGTAAAACACCCCCCTTATTCCCCATTAAATCTGCACCATGTACTATCCGCTGACACTATGATCTATTTCTGCATCCTTATAGTCCAACACCAGTGTTAGTTCACCTGCCTCTGAACAAGAAATCCAGCAGCTGCAGAAATAGCCTACCTACAACCCACCAGCTTGTGTGAACCCGATGAACCGGAACGAACAATGGTGTCAGCAGTACCTCAACGCTACAGTGGTCTGCGTGTCTTTGTGGGGGTGTACCGGTACCGCTCACCTGTCAGGCTGTCGTAGCACTCGATCTCGGTGCTCTCCACGGCTCTCCGCTGCTCCTCGGTCAGCTTGGCCGCGGCTTGGTTCAGCAGGTTGACCTCGGAGCCCGTCGTCCCATCGACAACATGCACCCCTTTGAGCTGCAGCAGCGCCCGGTGGTACTTGCCTATCGCTTCCCGAAATTTCTTCTCCTTGTAGCAGCGATGACCCTCCGCCTTGAAGTCGATGGCTTTCTGGATCTTCGTCTCCATCTCCATTTCAGCCGAGCCGGCTCGATAACCACCACCGCTGCCGCCTCCTCCTCCGTCTCCTCCGGCGGCCGCTGCCAGGCTCCGGCCGCCGGTCTCCGGGTAGCTTTTTAGGCTCTTTATCGGGTGCTGTTTCGCTTCCATGTCTCTCAGTGAAAGCGGCTGGAGCGGGCCATGGTGCTCGGACACGAAGGTGTGTTTTGTTGGGGAGGACCGGAGCAGCGTGCTGTGCATAAAGGATGCAGGTTGGAGCGGCACAGGCGGCTGGACAGGCGGCGGCGCCGGAGAGACGACGAGCCTCGAAAAACCGCCAAGAAAACAGCTTCAGGAGCGTCTCCGATTTGTAGCTTGTGCTTTAAAAACAGATGTTAAAGAAATGTAAAGGCAGTTTGTAGTTATAAAGAGATTAATAAGGCTGGAACAGCTGGCAGAAGCATCCTGAATTTCCCGACCAGCAGTTTTGCAACAGTGGAAAAAAACGATTCCTCGCGCTGGTCCACTCGCGGAAGGATGCTCGGGTGGATTTCTATGGTAGCAGCCTCCGAGGCACGCGCAGCTTCAGCACCACAGACAGCACACACACGACAACCCCTACCGCAAAGCATTGTGGGGGTGAAAAAAAAAATAGAAGTCGTGAGGCGTTGCTGCAGTCCAGATTTTACAAAGCAAAAACTGAAAAAACGTGCAGAAATGTCCTGACAGAACCGACCAAATGTCAAAAACGACTCTCGCTTTAAAATAAATTTATATTAAACAAGTGTGAAGTGTGAAATAGTGGCTACTTGTGTTTGCATTACGAACGTCTTATTCGCATATTTATTAGACTGTTAGGCAAAGACGCCCTGACACCAGTTATAGGAGTCCCCTTATATTCACTTTATTTTAAAATGATTATTAGCTACCCTTACAAAAGATTTCAATTACGTCACTCCCCAAAAAAACAAAAACAAACAAACAAACAAACAAACAAAAAAAACACAGGCTGACGCGGGCAAATTCAGTTTTTACTTTAGCTGATATCCCCCCTATAAACATCAAATTATGGCCAAAGTTGAGCGCCTGATGACTTCAGCTGATAAGGTTCTCAAGGAGATGGAGACAGACAGCATGAGGCTGCAGGGACCAGAGGAGAGACAGGAGGAGGGAGAGCGCGACCTCAAGGGGACACAGAGTCAATTACACTCATTTTTTGATGTGACGTGTCTGTAGCCCAGTGGTGAAGGAAGTATTCAAGTTAAGGAAATGTACTAATACCACAAAATACTCTTACAAGTAAAAGTCCATCTCATTGAAAATGTTACTTAAATTAAAGCACGTAGGAGTACAATCAACAAAATACTTCTATTACATATATTTAGATTAGATTAGTATTACTTGTGTAAGCAGGATTTTACTGTAGTTGGTTGAGATTGAGCTAATTTTTTAATTAGTTTTTAGTTAGTTAGTTGTTCTACAACTAATAATTATCATTATGGATTAATCTGCTGATTATTTTTCAATTAGTCTAATTGATTGGTTTGTTAATATGAAAACCGTGAAAACAGTGAGAAATGCCTGTCACAATTCTTCCAAGCCCAAAATCACACCTTTCACAATATTTGTGAAAAAGCAAAGTGCTTTTGATAAGAATTTTATCATTCCTCACATTAATTTGAGAAGCTAGAAGCATGAAATGTTTGGTATTTTACATGAGAAATGACAAACTATTAAAATAGTTGATTTTCTGTTCTACTTCTGTCTACTCTTAGGTAACAAACAAACAAATATAACAAATATATAACAAAGTATCATATTTATATATTATGTAAAAATAAATACACACATACACTTATATTTATTTATATATATATAATATATATATATATATATATATATGGAACATTATCTTAAATCAGCTTCATGAGGTAGTCACCAAGAATGGTTTTCAAGGTGTTCCTTGTCAAAAGTTAATTAGTGAATTTTCTTGCCTTCTTAACGCATTTGAGACCATCACTTTACGCTGGCTTCATGTATTTGTTGGTATACCAGTAGATTGCCCTATTGGGCAACTGTACTAATCCTATTATGCCAAGAACTGCTCAAGCTAAGTAAAGAGAATTCAGTCCAACAATTAGCCTACTGTAAGACATGAAAAGTCAGTCTTTGGTTTGATCTTAAGTAGTTGGACTGCCATAGGAATACATTAATGTTAAGATGGCTTGGCTTACACTGAGTAATCCTAAATTATGTACTAGAATCTGGAGTTCAATTCAAGAAGGAGAGAATCAAATGGAAGTGATAACAAAATTTATTGTGATAGCAACAATGAGCTAGTGTGTGATACGAGCGATTGGCCTGCCCAGGTCCCAGACCCGGTCTGCCACCCAGTTTACAATGCCTCCAGAAAGGACTTTCGGTTACTTGTGGCAAACCATCATAGTCTCAGAAAGGGAAAGCAGATCTTTAGCCAGGCCGTTTTCAGCAGGGGAGGAAAACTGCTGACTCCGGATGAGGATATTGCTGAAAGCTTCGACAAACGAGAGAGTTCAAGTATCTTGGGTCTAGTTCATGAGTTCAGGCAGGGTGGAGCGGAGATTGCAGGCGGATTGTTGCAGACTGGACTGCTGTGTGAAGAGGAGAGCTGAGCTGGAAGGCAGCTTTTTTTTGCGTTTGCTACTTCTGACCTTCACCTATGGTCATGAGAGGGCGGAATAATGTCAATGTTTCCAACATGCACTGTGAAATGCAACTGTGGCTGGCAAAATTTTACACCACAAATATCATGACAGACAACAGAGTAATACCAAGAGCACAGCAGAAGGTATTGGGGGGACTGAAATGGATAACTCTCTGTAAACCAGCTTACCTGATAGAGAAGG